AGGAAGGGTAGCTGCTGATCCCTTTCTTCTTCCCTCCTGAATTGTATGTCTGGGAAAATGGAGTTGAGAAGTTCATGGAAGTTCTGCATCATGTTCCTTTTGACGATAACAACCGTGTCGTCAACGTAACGGCGCCAAAAGACCGGATGCTGTTGGATGAAGGCAATCTTTTCCAGATCTTGTAGGATCAATTCTGCTATTAAACCTGAAATTGGAGAGCCCATCGAAGTTCTTTGAATCTGCTCTTATGTCTCTCCTGCAAAGGTGAAGTATATCTTTTGGCAGAATTCGAACAGCCTCATGAGATGTCCAATTTTAAGCGAACTCTGGGTTTCGTCGTACAGCTCGTCAAGTTTCCTGCGTAAGATGTCTCGTGCCAAATCCGGTGGAATAGATATGAATAATGACGTCACTTCAAAGGAAACCATCATTTCGTCCGATTAAATCCTCCGGCCATGGAGGTCTGCCAGGAATTGGGAGGCTGAACGAACTGAGGCATCAGAGTTTTCTTGGAGGAATTTTAGTTTTGAATACATCCATTTTGCCAAATTATAGGTGGGGCTGCCTTTTAGGGCAACGATTGGCCGCAATGGAACGTTTGGATTACGAACCTTTGGCAGGCCATAGAAGCGAGCCTTGGCAGTATCTGTTGGTTTCGTTAGGCGCTGATCGTTCTCTGTGATCATATTTTGGCGTTTGAATTCGCCAAGTAATTTATTTAACCGATTTGCTACTGTCTTTGCTTCTGAGATGTGTGCTTGTCTGTAGAAATCTCTGTCATTAAGTAGACTTTTTGGCTTTCTCATTGTAGTCCTCACGGTTCATTACGACGGTTGATCGTTCCTTATCCGCTAACATAATGATTATATAATCATCCGTTCGTAGTTCCTTAATAGCTTGTGACTCACTCTTCGACATACATTGTGCTGGACGGTGTGTCATCAGCGAGGAGGCGACGCGTTGTCTAATGAAGTGTTTCCCGTCGTTCGTTGTTTGAGTCCTCACAAGCATGGCTTCTAGGGCTGCAATAAAATCGATAGGGTCAGCATCGGCGGTCTTAAAACAAGCTTCGTGATGGAGCACTCGTAATTGGTGTTCCGTTAGTTGCTTAATAAAGAGGCTATGTATCAAGTTTGAGCTTCCCGTGTCGGATGGTCGTAACTTATTCCGCTTCTGGTCCAGGATGATTCGCTTCTTCGCAGACATACAATTCAGGAGGGAAGAAGAAAGGGATCAGCAGCTACCCTTCCTCGATGTACTCATCATGCGAAATTCCGACGGCAAAATCGAAACAACGGTCTACAGGAAGGCGACCAACACAACACAGCTTCTCAATTTCCACAGCAACCATCCGGTGGCTCCCAAAAGAATCTGCGTAAAAACACTCTTCAAGAGAACCCAGGCACGTGAGGCCCGACATCTCCGCGCCCATTTTATGCGGAATGGCTATCTGAAGGCTTTCATAAGCGGATGCCTACGTGCTCGCCTCCGAGGACCCAACCAGGACCAACCCGTGCGATATGGCATGCGCTGCCATACATCAAGCATGTATCGGAAGCGACCGAACGCATTGCTGCGTGACTAGGCGTCGGAATTGCACACCGTCCCAAGGCTACCATGCGCAGCCAAATTATGCGAAT